ATTGAACAGCACCTCAATTGATTATCTTGTAGAAACGGATGATATGTTTTCTTTTGCTTTTCTGACACTGTTGTCCTGCATCTCCATGAAATGCAGGGTCAACATCTCGGTGCTGATTCGTGCAAGCCTCAGGGAGATCGCCCCAAGATTGGGCACAGTTGGAGTCTGCTAAGATGGGATGCGAAGATGTTTGGAGAAATAGAAGGACGCGAATGGATGGGTTATCCAAGGGATCTTCTTCTTTGGGGCGTGAACAGCTGAAACATGCTATCGCAAGATTCGCCAGTTTGCAGAAGGCTGGGCGGAACAAGAATGCCACCCCGCACCACTCACTTCGTCCCTGGGTGAAGCTACTTGTGGTGGTCCTAGAACTTCAATGAACAAAAAACATGATGACTGTAGAACTTCAGTGCCACGATTCACACACAGGACACCCTCAGCGCATGCACTAGTATTTTTGAACGTCTTGAGCCAGCTTGTTGGGGATGCACATCCATCTACAACCTGTTCACCATGTTCATCTTCAGCAGGACAACATCTTTTGATCTGGTCCACTTCAGAAACCTCAACAGTCACGGTGATCGATGATTAAATTCAACTGTTTGGATATCCGTGTGAGGAAGTTCCAAGACTGGGGTGTAACCAAAAAGCAGTTGGTGGAGGAAACTGAATCACAACAGAATCAACAAGAATCAGTGGCTCTCTGAATGAACCAACACGTGATTCCACCAAGCCACAAAAAGGTATCAAGCCACTTGTTGGCAAAACTCTCATCAATGAGATCATCGTGTCCTTGGTTCGCGTGGTTCAAGCAGCTAAACAAATCTCAGTTGGGAAGTTGGGATGCCCCAGCTTCTTGCGGTGCATTGTGGGGATGTATTATGTTGTGATATGTGTTGTAATCTCATAAACCAATCAATCAGGAACACATATATACTAGAAGTTAAGAAAGCAACGCCGGCGCCTGTCTATAACACACTAGAAAAGTAACATGAAGGTTTATTCAGCATCATCAGAGTGACTGAAGGTTTGTGGAAAGGTTCACCTACATCATCTGATTGCTGTGCGGGCCACTGCAATGGGAGTATCGTATTCTTCTCAAAATATTTAAACATTTTAAAGCAGAAATCCGCCATTTCGCCATTTCCATGAATTTGCAGCATTGGTCCAGTGTCCTATCATTTAACACTACCAAAGACATCCCCTCCAGAAAAACCATGCAACTACCGCCGGCTTGCCGTCCACGCTTCCGTCCACCGCCCGAACGGCCGTCCAACGTGCGTGACGGCCGAGTCACTGAGCTGCGCAATGGCCTCTCCCAAGAGGGGCACCACCTGGAGGAACTTCGGGCGAGTGGTCGGCGCAGGGAGTGGTCAGCACAGCAGCGGTGTGACGACGGTGGGATGGGGCCGGTGTAGGGTGATTGGTGGGGTGTGATAAGCCCAGACAGTGGTGTCTTCGTTCTCCTTTTCTCTACGGGGTGAGAACACACACAAACACACACCCGAAACTGGTTCGCCATGGCTTCGGATAAAAACAGCCTTCACAAAAACTCGACACCTCGATCCACGAAGTTGACGGTTGACGGTCGACCATCCGTTGTGACTCACGGTTTTGAGATGTATTGAGATGTGTTTCTTATTCCCTCCACCCCTTAATTTAGCTCAGGGAACCAGTCTTGTTTTTGTTGGCGTCGTCATTTCATGGGAGTGACCCGCACACTGCGACCGGCTCCCCTTCGGTCGTGGCGCGACCGGGCCTTCTTGTGCCTTCTTCGCAGGTCCGCAATCACCTCCGTGACCTCCTTGAGGTCCGGCCCCTGCTCCGCCAAGCGGAGGTTTCCTGAGGTGAGGAGAGGGGAGATGTCTGGGAACAGTCTGATTCTGTTCTTGAATTGGCGTGGTGGGGAGCTGCTCGGTAAACACCACCTCCATCAAAAGAGCATCACATGCGATAGTTCAACATCTTCTTGGCAGCTGGTTTGAATCATTGCAGCATTCTCCAGTAGCACATTGTCACTGTGTCCAGCAACAGCATGGAAGGGGTGCATCTCGCACAAAAAGAGCAGTGGCCAAAATACTGTCCACATACCAAGTTCGATTCAAATTATACATTTTACAAACAATATAGTTCATCATTGTTTGTAATTTAAAGCTTTCTTGCTCGATCGAGAACCATGATCGTTCAGCTATTCTTCACGTTATAGAAGACCCCTCCAGAGATGGAATATCGGAATATCACACATTCCAGGTCGACGGTATCCCAAGCAATCGGCAGGTGGAATACGTGATATGATACATAACAAGTCCCATCACCTGCCTTAGTGACGAGCCGGAAGATAGCATAATTAGAAACAATAAGCTACTAGGAACAAGTGCATCGCTTCTAGTAACAAGTGCCTTACTAGTAGCAACAAGAAGCTATTAGAAGCCAATATCATCAGGTCCAAACTGTGGATGAGCGCAGCCAAAGCCTCGAAAGGAGTCTGAGAGGATCCGATGCACCTTGGTCTGCGTTCGCCACCGTCTTCTTGGCGGGCTGCCAGGGCTGGATGATTTCTTGGTTTTGCTGAAGACAACATGCTGCTGGTTTTAGGGTGCCTGCTGTGAAACATTGTAAAGCCCATTTTGGGGTATGTATTTTGTGCTCCTAGGTCTGCAGGAAGAAGGAAACAGGAATATATATATATTATATATATATATATTATAGGAATTGTATTCCAACGGCCAAAGGGGCTACCATGAACCTTCCAATGCGAAGCTCCAGAGAGTCCATGAAAGGCTGACTCCAAACCAAAGCAAAGTTGTGCAAAGACCTGCAATACCCAACACTTGGGACTTGAACTTACAGTAGACAGGATTCATCAAGAATGCTGGAATCGTTGAGTTGGTCAGCTATTCACTGACCAAGCCAACCATCCTTTTGGCCAACCCACACCACATGACCCACCTCTTCACCCGCCCAGCGACATCCTGGATTTCCGGCACCTGGGACCAGCGAGGTAACACCTCCAAGTGCCTCAGCCGAACTGCGAGGCCCCGGCAGCGACAGTCCAGCGGATCAGCGGGATGAAGAAAATGAACCGGTCCAAACATGTCCAAACCAAAGACTTACTGTCCTTAACTGTCGTTTCCGTGGTGTAAACACCATCTTTCAAGAACACTCTTCAGGCTCAATATCCTTCTTTCCCCCGGTGACTGGGCAATCCCCCCCCAAAAGAACTCACGGGACCTCGCCAGGTGACTTGATGCGCGTGGCGAAGTGCACGGGGAGGTTGTTGTGGATCAAACTGGCGACCTCCGAAGGCGTCGAGGCCTTGATGATCTGATCCAGTTGCACCTCACGGAAGTGATGGCGGCGTGAAGCAAGCGGATGGCACCTCACGGTGATCGCGGTGTTTTCAACGAAAGAGAACTGAATCAACAGCCAATGAAAAACATGTCAATCATACGGTGGGGCCAATCATCTCAAGTAGATTATAGAACGTGTTACACAAATCATCAGCACATATCAAAACAAGCATAAACAAACTGGCTGAAACTACCACCCACCGAGATTGAGACATGTAGCTGAAAGAATACGAGTCATATTAATATAATACTCATCCCCCATCCCTATGATCCCACATCCGCACGTCCCCAGTCCGTCGTCGGTCTCGGCCGAGCGTGGTCTCTGCCGAGGGACGGGCTGGGGAGCCTTTTGTGCGAAGTAGTCAATCTCAGCTTTCATGAACTTCTCCAGTCTGCTGGAGGAGATGCTGACATTGCCTGGTTGACTCAAAAGCAACATGCATTCAAACTTCATATGTGAATGTGCGACCGACGGTGTGTGCATGTTGGCTCGACTCAGACTACGGAGAACAATGGGATTTCTTAGGTATATAGCATCCACGAAGCTGCAGCTGTCGGCAATGGGTGAACATTCGAACATGGTGAACCAGTGTAGTGAACCAAAACAGGGAACGCAAACGTCTGCGAATCACATAACGATGCTGAAACTCCGAAATGTCCCTCAATCGCTTCATCTTATAAAGATGGAAACACGAGTTCGACCAAATCAAACAATGACTGCCTATACTTCCATGGCATCTGATTAGGGGTCGCCACGAGGGAAAACAACTGCTCAAGATATCTCTGCCATCAAAACAAACGCTTCCCGACCGGCCAAGCTGCTGCTGGTGCTTCGGACGCTGTGCCATGGCTTCCCCACACAGCTCATCACCAAACCCGCAGACAGTCGCGGATGCGCCCGCACGGACCAAGGCACCATTTGGAGCGATGCCATGGCTCTCTGAGAGATTGATGATGTTTTCATCTCGAGTCTGGATGTATGGATCAATGGGTTCTTCTTTGGGTCTCCATGAGACTGGTTCAAAAGACTTCCACTCGAAGGGTGATGATGCAATCTTCCGGATGCTCGTTCCTTTCCGCTGTTTCTTTTTTTTTTTCCAGGCCCCAGTCTGCTGTCTTCAGAACTTCAGGTGTTCAAATTGACTGCTGTTCGTTGGGCACAAAGGGGTCTTTCTACTGTTCGCTGGTAATTTCCATCTGTGTCCATTGAGGTTTCCTTCCAGGGCCTCCCCAAGAAAACACATGTCTTGTCCTGTTCGCTTGAAGCATAAACACGTTCCCAATTGGATCCCATGATCCGTTGGCGGATGGGGATGAGCTGGGGCATGGGGGGTTAGCAGCATGCTCCAACATTTGTCTCAAGGGCCTCATCGTCTGCCTTAATAGAGCGGAACATCAGCTTTCGACTGGCAGTGTGAGCCAGAACAATGAGCATCAAGGGCCTACATGCTCACAATAGATGGTTCATGATGAGAAAGAAAAAGCGCGTGTCCCATCGACCCTCTACATGTGGACCCGCAATCAAGTAAGATGACATACTTGTAGATCGAAGCAATGCCACTCCATATATATGCCAATGTTCTACTGTATCTTTCCTCACGCATGAGAGGCAATGTGAACTGCTGCGAAGGGGTGCTGACGTCTTCGGTCCTTCCACATGGATCGGCGCTCTTTCCCGAGGTCATCATTGATGTCGTCATCCATTGGCACCATGCAATCCTTGGAAACACAGGAAATCCTGCTTCAATATTAAAGAGGACTTAGAACTAGTGCACGTTTCTCCATCAAACTCGCTGATCACCATCGGAAATCTTCTGGCCGCAGAACCAAACCAATTTGTTGCTGATCGCCCTTCTTTCCCAGTGCATCTCCAGGATCCACCAAACCAGCAATCTTCAAAGCAGGCAGAAGTCGATCGGAGACGGCCAACGCCGTGCTGTGCCGCACCTCCGGAAACGGCCGGATGCGTCACCCGTCGGTCCAAGACTTGGCTGGTCGGTGTCACGTGCTGCCTGAAATCAACCGAACCATGTGAGTGGCTGGTGCTGTGGGTTAGGTGCTGTGTCCTTCAAGCTTGGTGGCGGGTTGGGTGCTGGAAGGACAGCTAGAAGGACACAGCACCAAGCAATATCCTTGTGGTGTTGGGTGTTGGGTCTGTGGTGTTGGGTGCTTGATTCTAATTTGGTGATTCTTGTCGAACCGCGAAGATAGATCACATCCCTCGACACATTGATGATAGGGAAGTTCTTCTTTGAGACACAGAGACACATTAATTGGCCAAACGATGCCAAAATAATACACAACCCTTAAAGCCTGTCAAATGATGTAAATCGATACATACTTCGTTGGCTAAGACAGGTCAAGAAGCTGGCACATGGTAGCACATGGTAGCATCCAGCATGGCACCTGGAGCCATGCCTTCCCCCCTTTCTCCAGCACCTTCAACTGCTTCATCTGCTCCTTGGGCGCTGGCACCTCTTCAATCCGATGCCGAAGCAGCTGCACTCGCTCACAGGGCCTCGGATCCAGTTCGGGTGGACGGTTCCGGTGGAACATCCGGTTGACCGAGGAAAGGCTCTTCACACTCCGCCGTACTTGAACAGTGAGACACCCAAGCAATATGGTTTTGGTAACCCCGGTCCTTAAATGAAAAAAAACATGAAAAACGCCCCCCCCTATACATGAATAGTGGTCTCGAGGCTGATATTGGTAGCACTGCGACTTAGACTACACGGCCTCAGTCACCCAAGTCACCTGAACATAAGTGTATTTGCATTGCACATTGTGGATGTTAGACTGGGTGTCAGTGAGGAATGCATTCAAGCATGGGTTAAAATCATCACACTACCAGTCATACCCTATACACACTAATTTGCAAGCTAACCAGTGGTGTTGTTCTTTTTTGTCTATATACATTCCTTCTTCAGGGGGTCTTTGGGAGGTCTCCCTATTTCTCATACACACCCACATCACCTGGAACTGGGACAAGACACCTGGATTTAGAGAGAGAGAGTTTCTGTTTTCAGTGGCTTGCTGTGCAATTGCAATGGTACTGATATGATATTATGGCATTGAATATCAACGCATCATTGGTGTACATGGACTTGCAACAAACAAACATCATATCTGGTCATAATTTCACTGCTGCAGTTTGGTTTTCATTCCAGCTGGCTGGAACATTCGAGGACCAGTGATGTGCAACCATGTCCAACCTCTTACTATGGTGTAAAAAAGAAGTGAGTCTTGGGCAATATGTCGTTTTGGTGAATTCAGCTTAGCTAGCTTTCGGCGCCGCCCAGTGAATCCCAGTGACAACCAGAAGTCATGCTCCTCGTAGCCGATGTAGCCTCCAAAGCTCGAGCAGGACCCAAAACTCAACCGGTAATGTTCGGACCCTCAGGATTTGGGGTACCCAGGACGCTTCTAGGGGCTCCTGGCATCGCTACTAGGATTCTTGCTACTAGGAACAAGAAGCTACTAGCGGCTCCTGGCCTTACTACCAGCAGCAAGGGCGCTACAAGGCACCTCTCCGAGAAGCATCAAACACCTGTTGGAGGGAATTAGGCACAAAAGCAGTCCTGCCGTCCTGCCTGTTGTTCTTCTACCAGAGTCGCTAGAAGATGGTTCTAGCAAACTCTCTAGTTGACGTTTGAATGGTCGATGTTGGTTCGCTACCATTCACCGGATGCACTTCAGAAATCAAAAAGCAAGGGAACCTACTTGCTCAATGACCAACTCAGATTACCTATTGAGTGCGGAGTTCCCAGTTTTCTGTTTGTCGCAAGTTTTGTTTTCTCACTGGTGCCTTTTAAGCTTTTCAGAGTGGGCCAACTTATTCAACGAAGGAATGGAATGCATGAGGACAGGACAGCCTTCTGTCTGAATTTATGGACATCAAAGTTTACATGCGTCATCTAGAAAAAAAATACCCGTGACCACGGCTCTTCCGGATTCCTGCATGTTGTGTCTCTAATTGGTGCTTTGGTTTGCTTCTAGTTATACAACATCCATGTCTTTCCAGCCACGAACCGAACGTCTTCCTTCTTCACTTCGATGGCTCAGTGGACTGCAGCACTGCACCCATTCGGGCGAGCCTTTCACCCATTCGTCAGGTTGTCCCCTCGGCATAGTTCCGCACATGTCCACCGACAGCAGTTCTGCTCTCAGCTCTCCATCGACTGTTTGCATCTGTTTGGCCAACAGAATGATCTTGCAAGTTTTTTAAAGTCAATGACTTGTTCTAACAACTTGCTCCAACACTTCTGACCAACTGGTCCTGGGCAGCAACTCAGGCACGGGCTCAAATTCGATCTTTCCATAGTCTTGATCTTTCACATGCCTCCAGGGCACATGTCACATGTCCTGCTTTCATCTAAACTCTTGTTTGCTTGGTGCTCCACAACCCTCACTCATACTCCACTAGTTAGCAACTCTATAACCGTGACCACAACTGTTCATCTGTTTCGCCAACCAATCCGCCTCTCTTTCTTGGTCTCTCCCTCGCCCTCAACCGTCACGTCCGGATCGGCGCCGCTGGGGAGCCCGGACGGTCGCAGTGCCCGGTGCGGCTTGATATATCCCAAGCGTTCGGCCTCCAGCTCCAAGGCAGAACGCTCGGCACTGACCTCAGTCTTTCCGAACGAAGGTGGAACGAAGCTCGAGTTTAACCATTGGGTGATGGACATGGAAGGTTTGAGATGGAAGGTAAATAGAGGATTCGAATATATTCGGTTCATGTGCAGGGGTCAAGCAACGTTCCGGGGTTTTGACCCACACCCATACCATACCAATTGTGCTGAAGACTTCACGTTCAGGAACCAACATCACGTCACATGCGCGTCATGTCGAATCACTGGAAGAAACCAAGCACAGCTTCAGCCAAATTCCAACGATCTGTGTTGACCCAAAGTGATCCTCCTCCCGGATTTTTGGGTCTTGATCGCATCAACCCTGCACAGCACAGGCACCACCAGGAAGGGCGACCGGCCAATGACCTTGGCACCAAGGCCATCCAGGTCGATCTGAAGACCGGCCTCCAGTAGCCATTCTTTCACCTGGATTCCAGGCGAGGGACCATAGACCATCATGGACCACACACCGATATATTCGGTCCGGCTACTATGGCTCCGAAAAGGGAACCATGGGGGGGGTACCACCGCTGAAAGGACAAATTGGATTGTATTTTTTGAGTCATGTCTATAGGTAGTTAGGTCGAATCACACGACTGCGCTTAAGGGTCTGACTGCGGTGATTTTCATGGACGACACTTCTTGGGATGTTGACCATCACATGGCGAAGAGCTTGGAACTTGGGGCCTTACTTATCTCCTATAGCCTATACCTGTGAAGTTCGGCAGTTCTGGAGTTATACACGTTCACGTTCTTGATCCTCGATGGCATAGTTCAATCGTTGTACTACTTGTGCAATAATTATATCCATTATATAGATCATAAATCATAACATACTGGAGGACTGAGCTATGCAATGGAAAGCCTCATGAGGCCAGATTGAAGATGTTATGAGCTCCAGGGATCCATGATGAAACCAACATCTCCTCACAAGATTCACGATCAAAAATACAAGAGATGCGGATTCACGATGATTTTTGGCACTGAGTAAGATTGGCACATCGTGAATGCAAGCCTGCAAGACATTGGCACTGAGTCCTGCACGTGAGGCATTAGCTCCTGCAAAAAAAAGAACTCTGACCGCACATCCAAGTAAACATGTTTCAGGTACAAGTAGACCAGTAGACCCTTTCATTTCTACGCCAGTCTATTCGCGGTTGAGAGGTTCACCTGCGGTGACATTATGACCCATAGCCGTTTGAACGTTGCACAAAAAACATCAATCACGGCCAAACTACAAGGAGACGTGTCAAACTGTCACTTAGATTCTTGTGCAGTAAATCCGGATCAATCGCTATTTGCATGTTCCTTTCTTCATTCACGAGATCCCATTTTCTTGAAGAAAAAAATCAGTGTGTTCATCTCCACAGTCCATTTAGCCAGCAGCTGGCTCTCGTCTTGACCCAATCGAGCGGATCTCCTCGCTGGCTTTGTTGTTGAAGCCCAGCAAATAGCGTGGCCGCGGAAAGCTCTCCATGACGGCTGGGCTACACAGTCACAGGCTGAGAACCTAAAAAAGGATGGGGCCACGCTGCAAGAGAAAGAACAAGTCTTGAAGGAATCATCTCTATGTGGTGACTGAGTCATCCGCTCACATTCCCAAGGATTTGAGCCTCTAAACAGGCTTTCACACATATATAAACGACCTGGTCAAGAAGTCCAGAAGAAGCATCCTAATGAGTTCAAGCAATTTCAGATTGCAGGACCATCCCAACTGTTTGTTTGAAACCATGTAATTCATGAACCATGACCATTGAAGCTGTGTACACCATGTGCACCCCAAAAAAACACAATATCAAAATTCCATGTGTAGGAGAATCAAAGCATCTTAACGTCGGTTTGTTGCCGACTTCCCTGTGATTCGCTATTCCCACACCGCTAGTCCCAGCCCGTCTGAGACCGTCGCGACGGGAGCACCTGAGTCTGAGTCTCAAACGACCCTTCAAAGAAGACACAAATATGTCAGAAATATTACGAGCTGTTGCTGTCAAATACTACCATGTGTCTTGACACCTGTTAGGATGTTGTCAACCTGTCACTTGTTGAACTCTACAGCCAAACATCCTGAACAGCCTGAACACTGTTTCACAAACAATCATATTATGAATCGATATGAATCATACCGTGTTTGCATGTGTTGTGAGTTTGTTGGATGTCCTCCGAAAAGTCGATCACGACCTCAAAGACAAACATGGCAGACCTTTCTGCCCTCCGCGGGCAGACCATTCCCTCCCTCTGCGCCACCGACCCGTCGGCCTGCCGTCGCTTGCCAAGCCCGCAGCTGTTCGGCACCTTGAGGGCCATGCCGTGTCGTGTTCCCCAGCTTCGGCCCCGTGTCGGCCGGTCGAACAGGGATTTGGAACGAACACGTCTGCGATGGGTGCATGGCATGTGACGTGACGTTGGTGACGAGTTGGGTGCATGGCATGTGACGAGTGAGTGAGTGAAACTAAGTCTGAGGTACACTGCATGAAATTAACAAGTTTACCACCTGCTCGTAGTGGAACATGGTTATCCAAAGGACCATGCCATCCACTTCCATGATTGTTCAGGGAGTGCAGCCTTCAGAATTACGGTCGGCCAGGTCTCTGCTGGCAACGAAAGGATGCAAAAGGCCTGAACATCATACCCGTGGATCCAAACGCAAAAAAGGACCATGCTGGGCACCCTGACTGTTGAGCACTGAGGCCGCGCGCCTACGGCTCAACAAGAGCGACCAGCGGTGTGGGGTGCTCAAAAGGATTCGGCAAACACATACCAACCCAAACTATAAGGTCACGGGCCAAAAACTGTTGGGGGGACTGATCTCAAGCCTGTGTCTTTTGGCTGCCAAACACTTGGGGACGATTGGGGCTATCCTTCTTAAGGGCTTTGGGGATTATTTGGCCACAGCGTTGCGAAGTGTTCTTACTGGCACACATATCTTGGTAGCTGCTAGCAGCCAGTTTCTAAATGCTGATCCTTGGCCATTGTGAATTGGTGCATTCCTTTGCAAGGCACGAGGTCTACCCTATTGCAAGGCATGCCAGGCGGCTGGGCCATAAAGACAACAGTTCTATCATCAGCTTGAATACATCCGTAGTCAGGATGTATTGAATCACACCCAAACAATTATGTTCTCAACAACATGCGGTTGTCGTGTTCTCAAGCAGAATGCACTGGCTCGACGCTGGCTCGCCTGAATTTTCTCTTGAGAATCTCCAGTGCTTCAGCATCAGACTTGGGCTGGGGCATTGGATCTTCGCCCTCTTTGGGCTCCTGCGAGTGATGTCAACTGCCCACGAAGCGACTCAAGGATCATCCACGTGAGAGTCAACAACAATACCCCAGCATGGACTGGATAAGCAATGTTGTGGAGAATCTTCCGCTGCTGAAAACACGTGTGTCGTGGCACTTGGCATGATTTGAGATCGATATAAGAAACCCAAGTAAGGAAGTCTATAGAATGAAATAGTCTTCCAAGATGCAATGTGGCTTTCCCCATGCCCATCACAAATCAATCGCGCACTGCAACGTACTACGTTTGACGACACCTCAAAAAAAAGAGGATACACTATTGATCAATTCCTTGAAACTCCCAAAATGCTTCCCATTTGCAGAATTGACCGATCCCACACTTTGTGGCCAGGCGCGCCTGTGGTTTGGCCAACTTCGTCTCCGCATCTGCGCGCAAAGCACAAAGAAGCGTCAGCGACTCCTCTCGAGCGTCGCCACGATGGTTTGCTGATCACATTCGCCCTTGACTGATTCTTACTGCTTCGAGGTGACCACATCGGGCGACACGTTGCCGCCTGAGACGGAGCGTGATAGGATCGATTCTTAGTCTGCCTAGCTCCTGGGGTGCAGTTAGGAGTGTGGCAGAAGTAGGATCGTCTCCCGCAGATAGGGTAAACATCTGAAAGTCCTAGCAAACTTCATGGTGAACACAACCGCGTGAGACCGCAGAATAACGGGCGATGTGGATTTGAGGGTCTTACATGATTATACAATCAAATCAATCCGAGAAGCATGACATCTATATAAAGCTTTGTTTACTTGCAATACTTGCGCTGCTCTCCTGCAAGCTGGTGCATGTCAAGCGCCGCTTCTCCTGGCTCCCCCACTCCCCCACTCATGCTGGTTGTCACGAATTGCATGAGACTATCAGCCAGCATCACGTGCACTCAAACTGGCCTAAAGGTCTTGGATAGGCTCAGAGCTACCAGGAGAGGGTTGTACTTAATTATATAAAATTAAGAACAGTTTGCCCGAGTGGTCTAAGGGGGTAGACTCAAGTTCTACTGCGTAAGCGCGTGGGTTGAAATCCCACAGCTGTCATATTTCACAGTGCCTTTTCATGTCATCTTCATGTTGGTTTTCAGTTTTGTAGGTTTACTTAAACCAAAAAAACACATTACAGTCTCTTATTTCATCGAGGAGCAATCGCAGAAACTCTCACACCGTGACACCAATGTTGCAGCAAGAAATCCGTCCGGCTTTGATTAGCACGGTTTTGATTAGCATTGCTCCTTGAACGGCCGTCCTCAAAGTAATACAATATTAATATAGTAGATAGAACATGGATAAACATGGAACATTCCCAGCACCTGATCACGTTGCTTTGAAGCATGAGTAAAAAAAGTAATAAACACAATAATCATCATCACCCAACACAGCTTGAAGCAACCAGGAGCGCTCCCCAGTCCTCGATATGGCCCTCACCTCGGTAGAGGAAGTCCTGGGCGCTCGGCAAGTGAGAGACGGAGCACGGTCTGAGCGGACAAGATCGACAACACATCTACTTTTCCAAGACATGCAAATTAACAAAATACTCCCGAATGGGAGCATCGGTGGAGGGAACAAAAAGGAACATCGTTTCGATAGTTTGAGGATGTTTGAGGACGAAACAATCTGCACGCACTTGATCCGTACCGCAAAGTGATCTGGCAGTCCGTTCCATCAACATCACACAACACACGATAAAGACTAGCATGGCTTCCGCAAGCTCCCTCTCTGTTAGTTCTTGCCTTTCCCTGTCCTCATGAGAGAGGTGGGAAGAAGAACCAAGCTCTAATATAATAAAGGATCCAAACTGTCGTCCTGTCTGGATGATGTTATATAACATCCAGCGACTCATGGGAACCCCTCTTGTATGACCACATTATCACTCCCTACAGCAAGCACTTGGCTTCTCCCGTCCGTTTGAATTTGACCTCCTTGTCTCTTGCACTTGAAGACGTGTTGACAGTCCTTTTTCTGTTCATCCAAGCCATCTTAGGCCTTCTGCGCACCAACTTGGAATGACTTGGCTGAGGCAAAGCAAAGGCAGGACTTGACATGTTTTTCACCGAAACTGTAAACTCTGCCCGTCCTTGGCTGGTTGAGCCTTCACAGTGCGTGATGGTGAGTGGCTTGCTCAAGCTCCCAAGATGGCGTGAACGAGTTGTTCCAGAAGGCTTCGGGGTGAGGAAAAAACACCTCTATCCTTTTTTGCCGACTGCATCCACAAAGCTTGTTCATCTCCTGAAAAAACATCATCATGTATTATCTCTGCAAAGAATATAATCCACCAACGCAGTCTGATTTCAACCAAACATTTCACCAAGACATACTTCTCATCAGTTCCACCTGTCAGACCATCCCGTCTGTTTGTCATCTACAGCTGCTGCCTTCTCGCTGTAACCAAGCTCGCTGATGAGCTCCAGTACCTCTCTCCAGCGGTTGTCGGCCCGACGAGGGTGCGGTTGGTCCCGCGGTGGTCCCGCGGTTGGCTACAGTTGGAAGTGATTAGTTGATAGTGCTTCGAAATTAGAAGAACATGCCCTGCTTAGGATGCTGCACCCATCATGTTGGGGCCATCCTGAGATCCACAGGGACATATAGCTTTACGCACTTTAACCTATCATCAATCTTTCTTGACAGTGCTTGGGATTCCTTGTGCAAAGCTGTTAAACATCCCACGCCAGCAGCAAAAATGCAACTGGGAAAGGCAAATCAAAACTGAAATAAACTTGTTGAAGGATTGAAGGGTGCTTTTGCCACACAATCAAGGCAACTTTTTCCACACAACACAATTATTAACAGAGTCATATTAATTAAGGGTACGAGTACTTGATAGTACTTGTGGGTTTGACATGGGCTTGCGAGTTCGCTGAAACCATCGCAAACAACGGCACCTGATGTGGTAGTTGTCCCCGCAAAACAAACATCGGATCCCAGTTGATCATGCAGGTTCATGAAGCCCACGAAACAACTATAGATTGATGGATTACAGTAGCATAAAAATGTTATATATATTACATTATTGACCATTGACATCCCATGACATCCCTCATTGACTACTAGTCTACAGTGACAAGCTGTGGCACTTCTTGGGTGGAGGGTGTCTTTCGCCACGAAAAGAGCCCAATCGCCCATGCTGCTGGCGAACGAGCCGTCGAAGGACGGCGCACATCGTCACGAGAGACACCTTTGGGCTCTTCTAAATCGGTCACAACAAACCTCGGTGGACGGAAGGAGGCTCCCTGGATCTCCCCTGGCTGCCTTGGAAGGGGCCTTCGGCAAGACCGTAGGATAAACTAGAGCGAAAGGAACCGAAGAGCGACGGCCTCCAAGCTAATAGCGATGGCCTCCAACCTAACCAGAAACCAATATGCTTTGGCCAAGAAGCCATTCGCAAAAGGCGAGTTTGATGTCCTCTGGCAGGCCTTTTGCGTCCTTGTGATGGCCGATGCCAACAGAATCACGCACAGGACCAAAATCAACAAACTGGGACATGAAATCATGCACTCCGGTATCATCAAGACCTTTGAACCTGCTGTAGTATTTTGCCTTCCAAGTCAATAAAACCATGAGTCAACATCCTCCATCACATCGGCGCGTCAAACGATGCCTACAAAGAGTCGCATTTCTCCAAAAGATGCTTCTGGTCTCAGCAAACCTGAGGCTTCTAATCATCTCAAAGCCACATCTGAAGATTACTGGAATTCACCTCATAGATCCCACCAATCTAGTAGATCTAGCAAATGAAGTCACCTAGGTCTCATCAGCTAGTTTTGCTTGTGGTCTTCAATCTCTTCGATGGCTTGATGCCTTGACCTGAAGATTCCTGCGAGCCTGCAACAGCATTCCCCCAAAAGCACTATACAATGAGTCAGTCTGAAAGGTCTCTAATTTTCGTAGCCATTCAAGTTGATTCACCTGGACACTTCACCCCACATGCCGAGCGACCGTTCTGGAGTTCATCTCACCATCCCGCGGCGTTGGGGGCTGAGCGAAGCGAATATGAAGCGAGATGCAGGTGGAGGGAGGTGGATTGTGGATGGACCAAGAGAATCTAAATAACATCAGCAATCATAAACAATCAATGACTGAATGGATGGGATGGGATGGGATGGGAGGATGGGAGAGGCTGGAGGTAAGTTATCGTAACATGTCAAAGAGTTCTCGCGGTTGGATCTATCACGACCAGGACCTCCGGCACTCGTCACCTCTCTGGGCGACCCCCCCCGCGAGGTAAAGGGGTAAAGGGGGCTCCATTCGACACTCCCAAATGGATGCTTTGGCAGCGACAGGCAAAACCTTCAGAGGGGGTTAGTGAAGACACTATGAATCATAAGCTATCCTGGGCTCAAGAATCAGTGAAACGATGTCAAAAGATTGACTTATTTGCCGCTGAACCTTGAGCTTGGCTGGGAAGTTACTGTTCGTGGCAAAAGGATTCCATTTTGAGCACAAAAGAGGTGACAAATGAAGCTCTGGAAGACCAAATTGTCAGACTTTTCATGGGGTCCTTTTCGTTGTTGGTACGATGGGCGGGAGTCGAAAGAAGGGACATTTAATGGTTACAGTGAGCTGGGGACCAATTCTCCAAAGTCCAAGAAGTGTCGTTTGCTTTGGTACTTGCAATTTGCCAACCGCATTCAAGATACAGTGTATACATTAATACTTATATATGCAGGCAAATGCTCAGGGCCAAACCCAGTAGAGCGGGAGTCGCCGGAAAGCATCCACGATGAGAATCTCGGTCTGATGAAAGCTATATTTTGCCTGAACCATCAAAGTGCTCTGTCAGTGTTCGCTCATTTCAGTTGGCATGCAAAACCTTGTCGTCAACTTCGTTCGTTCAGGTCGCTTTGCACCTTGTAGAAGTAGTAGAGAAAGGAGACAGTACCCGCTCCACCTCAGCTTGATTGGCAAAAGTCTGAGGCATCTCCCAGCCAAGTCATCATGCCATGCTCCCCAAGACCAAGACCCTATCATTTGGGTCAGGCAGCTCCTTCGGCACGGTTCAGTCACGACTTTGGAACGCAAGCACTTCCAGAGCAATCTGTCGTTACTGAAGTTAGATATCTCAGACCCTCCGACCACCACAACACTGAGACACTAAACGACGAGGTTGTCCATGTATGATCAGATTTCGTATGATTATATACAGTGTACAGTATTTCCATTAACAGCAGTCTTTGTAATCTTGGTTGTGAAGTTAGTACGAGTTCGGCACCCGCCAAAACCGGCTGTCCAATGCTAATGGCAGCAGCTTTGATTGCGGGTGTGATCCACATCGTGCCGTCTGACGACGTGGTCTGCACGCACCACCGCTCAACCTTGACGAGCCATACTGGCCAAGGCACAAGCGAAGTATGCAAAGAACATGCCCCATCCCATGGACTTGGATTCCTCCTGCCGACGGGAAAAAAAAGCAAAAGCACCGAGGCCCTTGTGGAAAGGCCGCCGCCCGGAAATAACTCCCTCATTGCGGAATTTTGTGGATTCATGAGGATTTTCCATATGCTTCTGTCGGTGACGAGCAGCATCTTACCAACCATTGATCATTGTTGCGAGCACAATACCATGAAACCCAAGGATGCGAAATGACTATCCCAAACACTCCACGGGACTGGCACATTTACCGACAACTTGGGGACTTGGGGTGCTTTCGATGTGGGGATGCGTTCTGTATACAAAAACAGTTTAATACATGTTATAACTATATTCAATACATGGAGTGTATGGAAACTAGCATGACCACAACTCAAAAGTAAGTCAGAAGCTCACCTATGATCCCATGGTTCCTCAGAGAGCCATGATGGGGGCTCCCCAGCTACTCACGAGTCGTAAAAGGTGAAAGCCCAACACTTCAGCATCCGTAGAAGGGCCTTCTTCTCCTTCTGCTCCGTTTCCAAGTTGGACTGGCGCAGAAAGAGCTGTTACTGTAGTTTGTGGAACATCCATTGACATCAAATGTGTCAAGCTTGGTGTTCTCCTTTCTTTGTCTGTGCAACTGTACAGAACCCATTCCTTCTCTAGTAATGATATGGCAGTAAAAGCCTACCGATCTTGGCATGATCACCAAGTCAAGACCGTGTGTCAAACATACAGTAGCAGGAGACACAAGGCGACCATGTTTGCTTTGCGTATAGGTTTGTTATGTTCAACTGCTGCGATGGTCAAACCCTAAATGCGTTTCCAAAAGGAAAAGCCGTTCTTGGATTCCCCAAAAATACACCAACACCCTTGTGCCGTCCAATCACACCCAACCCGTTCAACCTCAAAGGTGTTCTGATAAAAAAAATACTGGAAACCTCCGTCCACTTGAACCGTGCGTGCCTCTGCCTTGGAGCCAGTGGAGGGTGTGCCTACCGCTCGATGTGTTCGATAGGCTAACTCCTTGTTCATTGCATCTTGAAATACTATACTCACTCACTGCACAGTACCAAATGACTAGACTAAGTGGGATAACACTCCTTCTATCTTCTACTACTCATATCTGAAAAGCAGGAATCCAGCATGCATCAAGGTGTATTTGACACGGGAGTCTGGCCCCTCAGCTGCCCGGCTCAGCTTGCAAAGGTTCCCTGTATCTGCATAGACGTAGATATATCCCTATATTATACTCCATTCATGAATAGTTGGCTAGCTTTTGGTACTTTGGATGCAATGGTGGAAAACAGGTTCTTGCAAGTATTTTTACACATAGCAATGCAACAAGAACTGTGATTCAATAACTCATTGAATGAGCAAACTCGTCACCAAACGCACCGAGCATCAAGAGCTTTTCACCGTTCTGGCCGTTTTGGTCAGATGGTCAGCGAGCTGTGCACGCCTGGCGCGGTCTTTGACCTGCTTTCAAACAGAGGCGTGCCCACTTTGCAGCTTGAAGACACTTTTTGTCTGCTTTTATCGGATGCGACATGTGGGTCAACACCAAGATACACAGCCAAACCCCCCGCGAATCCACTGAATTCCCTGTTAAAAGACAGCATTTGTTTACCTACCGAGGAGGGAACCCAAATTTGGTGGCTTTTGACCCAATTTTTTACCTACAACCAGCGTCAACAGCGACTCACCGCCGCTTCTCGGTGGTGCTGGCTATTTGGGAAACCCTCCCAAAGATGGTAAACTACTGCCCAAGCACAATGACATGAGTCTTCCTGGTACTGAGTATTTCTACGTGTAATGAGTCTTCCTGGCAAGCTTCAAAGCTTCCATCTCACAGCACAGCGTCTTGGCCACATCTTGGATTGGTTTTTACTTTTCTGTGGTTTTCCGTATATAGAGACTTTCCTTAATACCGTGATTTTGCACCGGACATAAGCTTACTGGCTCAAAGTACATAATGCTTGGATGGCAGCAAACCCTCATGCGTCGCCCTCCGCTGGCAGCAATTTGATCGCGCAGGTGGTGCCATAGACGGACCTCGAAGCACGACCATGGACCATCTCCCAAGCAGTTGCGGCTCGCTATGACTGTCGGTCCATGTGAAGCGAGTGAGTTCTGCTGAACGTGAAACTGATGCCAAAAGACAAATACCCTATGGTCTTCTTGAAAGTTCAAGCCATTTGTAACCTCACAGTGATGGAATCTATGCCAAACAAATCCAAACAAACCCTGTAGCATCCGGTGAAGTGTGAGGAATATCTGGTGAAGTGAGAGGAAGAATCCTGGAATGAGGTCTCCCCCACGTCCTTCACAAATTCTTCAGCACACCGCCGTACCTACTTCAGCTGGTCAGAGCTGGTCATACCCAGCGAGCGGATAGAGGCCAAGCCACACGAGCGGATACAAGTCCATCTCATCGGGCACCGCTAAGGGCCAGTTGGCTACGATCTTCCCATCCTCGGTGAACGTCGGGTAATATTCACCAATCCAGTATGCTTTTAGTTTTGACCCCAGCTTTGGAGCTTCGACATGGGAGTGGGTGATCAACATTCAAGCTTTTGTTCCCCCCCTCATGATCTGCAAGAGGATGCCTGTCAAGCTCGGTAGGGTGCAAAGTAAGGGCCTCACATGAACATCCAAGGCAAGTGCCATAATTGCACTTTGTCCTTGTTTGGAGACGTCCCAGAATGCAAAAAAACAATGCAAACACATGTGGATCGAGGCAGCAGCTCTGAACATGAAAAGTTGGACAGAATCTGAATCTAGAATCAAATCACTGCTGGTAATTGCACCAGTGACTAAAGTCTCAGTTTTTGTCACCTATTTCACAGCTTTCGCGGCTTGTCCTCCAACAACAGGATTATGGAACACCAGGTTTGTTTCTAGCAAAGCCGGGCATCCAGGAGCACTTGAAAGCTTCCCTCCTTGCATTTCAACTCCACCACGGTCCCACTCGCTACCTGGAAGCTTGAAACTGGATACACTGATACACGCGAAAAGGCAATGAGATTCAGAATGCAGTACCATTCCACATATATTTATATTTCCCATTATATTATTATACACTATAGTATATACAATATTGTATTTTTGTAGAAACGCGTTTGGCAAACACATTTCATTACAATGTCTCATACCATGCAACATCCGCAAATAAATAGGCACAAATCCAACGACCAAAAAAGCGTTTGGCCTACAGTCATTTGGGTTCTTGACTTTGCATCACATGAAGAATTCAAGAGTCCAACACACCCCTCAAATCCCCTCAAGTTATCGCAAGTGACCGTGACTCTGCTGCACCACCCTGTGCTGCTTGCACTGCGCACCATATGCATACACTCAGTCAGCAAACTACTAAGCCCAGTCGTTAACCGTGTTTTGTTGGTCACCGGACACTCTTCACCAGACCCGTAGCTTTGGGGTGCACCCATATGGCTGTGCAACAAATTGAGCGACCGGCCTATACTTGTCCCAGGTGTCATAAGGCGGAAACGGCACTGCTCGTGTGTAGACTAGTTGACCATGTAAATTGCTGCGGTGCTTGCAATGCAGATACTTAGTACGACCCAAACGAAACTGCACCAATCGCTTCCTCAGCCGGGCACCAAGTGATGCTTCCACGGAGGAACTTCCGACTCTTCGCCCAGCACCACCAAATGTCCCGTCGGGCTCGACACCTTGGACTTGGCTCGCATCGAGATGGGAGTATTGACCGACAGTAGGCCTATCAAGCCGGCTTGATCCAATAGCAACTCCAATAGCCCAAGAACTGAAAACATCGGAAGACCCCTAGATGGACAAATACCGACCCCGCTGGTCGGAGGCGCGTCGAACGTGGTTGGAGGCTGACCTCGCTGAGCACTACTCCCACAAACCGTTTGAATGGGAGAATGGTGTGGACGACCGGTTCCCTGTTCCCTGTGCAAGGGGTCAGTTTCAGCTGCAATATCAGCGAGTGCAAGGGTACGCGTTGTTGGATGTGCTATCCTGACAAGGTTCGCAACACACCTGTACAATTAAAATCTAACAAAGATCCTTACCCTATGGAAGTGTTCGGCATAAGTGGTTGTTATTCCAACCATTGGTTTATCTCCCACTGTACCTTCTTCGGGTGACATTCCAGACCCAAATCATGAATGTCACATGGGACACCTAGGGACCTAGGAAGATAGCTGAGATTCCATCTGTGCACCTCAATACACAACTTCATGTCCAAGAAACATATGCGCAGGAGAGCTCTTTAGCACACTCTGGTAGCGGGTCAGGTAGCTCATCTGGTGGCATGCTGCTGAAGCCAGCCTCAAAGCCCCCTTTGTAGACCCCATCATTGTCCACCAACAGGAACCTGCGAGTGCGACAGTCAAACTCGTTGCCGCAACACCACCTCAAACCAAGGGCGGTGTTTTGCTCAAAACAGTTAGACCACACACGGCCTGAACTCCCGAGCGCATCCCGTGGACACCACAATGGCATGTCCATGCGGGAACTCCGCGCGTTCCTGGCCTTGGGGGGGTTGGAGCGGAACGTCGAAACGGGAGATCGCCCAAGCAATATGAAGCTATGGAAGCTTTTCAGGAAACATGCAAGCACCAATGCATGGGTTTCTCGCTTGTCTGAAAATTCGAGCTTATTGTTTTGATACAGAAAGTCTTGTGTGGCATTGCCCTAATTTGAGCAAGAGAGAGAGAGAGAGAGAGACAGACAGACAGAGGGAAAGAGAGAGAGAGAGGAGGGAGAGAGAGAAAGGAGGGAGAGAGAGAGGAGGAAGAGAGACAGAGAGAGAGAGAGAGGAGGGAGAGAGAGAGAGAGACACGTATTATATGGATTCCATGGGTTCCATAATGTTGTCAACAATTGTGGTTTGATCGGCTTGCCAGTGCAAAACCTTGTTGGCATCATTCTCATGGTCTCTTGGCCGGCCTTGAAATACTACCCTGCGTGGTATTCTCTAATGGAAACGCTCTGTTGCACGTTGACATCACTTTAATCATTTCATGATTATTGAGATCCGTCCAAAGCCCTGTCAATCTGAAAGCACAACTGCAGCGCAATGAACCTTGTTTGGGCATCAGGTACAAGGCTATGAAACCACCAATGCCAGTGTTGTCACATACGACCCAAGTGCTTGCGAGGGCTTGATTCATTATATAAGTCAATATGTCCTTTGATATCCTTTCATTGTATATAGAACTCAGGTGAGTAAACGATTCCTCAAGTAACCCTCAACTGCTTTGGCATGAGTCTCACCTCCATCCACCTACCGTCCTCTCTCTGCAACACACACACACACACACATCCACACCGTTCTCACCGAGCGGCTGCTGCGTTGCCGCTTCACCGTGAGGCGATCCTCCTGGATCACGGCGTTGCGACCCTTGTGGATCCCGTGCCTCGGTCGACGAGGGGGTTCGGGGCGACCCCGTTTCCCCGAGGGATCGGCCCCGCCGAGGACGGCGCCAACGGGGTGTTACTGGGGCCGGGGTGTTTGCCGGGGGGGAGTGCCAGTGCGTTGGGAGTGGCGGTGAGAGCTCTGCTAGTGAACTAGAAGTGGCATGGGACAGTGGAAAGTGATGGAGACAAGCAATGGAAGAGTCTGGGTTTTGGGGGAGCAAAGGGATACGTTGAAGTGTAGGTGAGTGGTAGGCAACTGCCCTTCAAGATCTGAAGGACTGCCCATGTCATGACCATTTTCGATTGGCTGTCACAGCTTGTTCACTAGGGGCATATTAACATCGCTCATAGTCATCCCCAACATCGATGCTAAGCCAAACAACGGATTTTCCGACGGCTCGAATTAACATCGGCGCAAAGACCCATTAAAGGATTGTAATTTGCTTTACTGCCAGTATCAATAAGTGAATACAGCGGTTATCTGAGTTATCTGTGCAAAACATATCAGAAAGTATATAGTAACTGGTTTTGACCTACTCTCTGGATTGTAAATCAGGAATCGGCTGTATTGAGGAATCCAAGACCCTATGCAAGTTACACGGTGAGTGTCTGCAACCTTCTCTCATCTAAGAATCTACACTCTTGCACAAAGCAGCCGCACTGAGCAAAACTCAATCTGTGGGTCCAGCATCGCATGTTTGGATGGATGTGCAAAAAGACCCTCCGTGCAGTCAGCATGTTCTTTTGACTAGGCACAACTGTCAACTTTATGGACCATTTCAGCAAGCTCTGAAACCAATCTTGACCTGTCATGGATCTTGCAATATTCCCCAAACACGTTCCACTTTGCTCCTAGACCACTGACTGGAACCAACAACAGAATAAACCGCCCTGCTGGTATGATCTGTTGTGTTGAACTCCAACGCCACCAGTACCGTGTTGTCTTTGGTGTATGTCTTGCTGTTGTCCAGTCGCTCCAGCGACATCATCCAATCAACGTTGAGCTGAGCAAAGCATAATGGAACATTAGAGTAAAAACAGCGCCCTTGTTGAGACCACAGCATCTGCAGCACAGAATCCAAGTCAAGGTCAAAGTTGCCATGCCACTTGCCGCGGTTGTGCCTGCGACATGCGTCCCATAGCATGCCTTGGACGTGGCCTCGTAAGGTCATTCGACGCCAAAAGTTGTACTCTCCAACACATTGTTTGCATGTGCTTCTGAGCTGGGTCCTGCAACTGCGACTACTCCGCAAATAAAAGCTTTCCAAAGGCTTCCAAAGCCCACACCGCGAACACCTTTGTAGTCCACAGCCCCCCTCCTGAAAGTCACATGGAGAGGAAATGAGGTTCGTAGGCGGAGCAAGGGACTGATACTTCATCCGTGCTGCCTGGATCAACTTGTCCAAATTCTGCAAGTCCACATTCAACAGTCGCTCGGATCTCAAGTTCTGAACCTTCTCTGGGGACCACTTGGAAGATCCAGGTGCTGCTTGCACTGTCGCTCTTCTGCTGATTCGCTCAGCAGTGTTAAACTCAGCAGCAATCAGAACACAGTTTTCTGCAACATACCCAACGGCGTTGTTCACCCTTTCCAGGGACATCCGCCAGTCTGAGTGTGGCAACAGCATCTCCATGTCAACACCAGAGTATGCACACCTGCCTTGCTGATAAAGAATCAAATCAAGAATGAAGTCAGCGTCTAAATTGAAGTCCTTCCCTTTCATTTTAGATCGCTGCCTGGCACTATTGACAAGAACACTCACATTTCCGCGGAGAGTTCGCCTGTAATCAGCATCTCGACGATTGTGACATTTTTTGCAGTAAGAGCGAACCTGTCCCTTTGCACCTACATAAAAGTCCACCAACATCTTCTCACCACCGCAATCACAACATCGCCAAGTGCCGGTACCATCGCCCAGGGCCCTGGAAGTTGGCGGACGTCTCGAAGTGTATTGAGGTCTTCTGGGTGTCCTGGCCTCGTCGACAATTCGCTGCAGTCGCTCAGCATTTAACGCAACCTCACCAAGCCGCTCTGCTGAATACCCCAAGCTGCTCAAACTCCTTTCTCGCAAAGCAAGGCACAAGTGCTGTGAGTGGAAACCATGTGGAAACATGCGGGAAAGCATGGCCCTCTCGCACAGGAGTATGCATGCATGGCGGTATGTCCTTAAGCCAGGTCAAAAGACGTAGCTTCCGCAGCCAGCAGCAGAAGGAGCGACTAGTGACTGTTGAGAAAAGCTGGCATCTGCACGCGATCTGGTTGCAAAATTAATTGTTTACAGTGGATTTTAGCTGACCTCTTGTGTTTCTTGACCGTGACTCCTAGAATCATGGAACTTATACCGAAGAATCACAAGAGGTTGATCTAGGAAGCCGACCCGTAGATGTTCAATGGCATAGCGGCATATCTATGCATATCTGCTGTGTATCAGCCCGCCTTCAGTTTCTTCTGTGACATAGCTTTCACAAATCGTTCCCTCTCTTGACTAGTCGTTGAAAGGAACGACGACGGTTGGTAGATTGTCGTTCTACTTCTTGAAAAGGACCCATGTGAGGGATGAGTCCCTGCACTCAGCCTGGTTCGAAAGCGCTTCACCCAGCCAATTTCATCTACCAGTTAGAACGGGTGGTCATCTCGCTAGCAAAAGACTACTCTGCTTTCACTTACGCTCTTTGCAGGCTGTTGTCGTAAAGTGTTGTACTATACCACAATCATGGGGTTTGGACTGAGCAGTGTACCAGAAACTGGACGCTCAAGGACATCCGTATTCTATACCTGAGCGCTTGGCCTTTCTTCTGAAACCCTTCAGCTAGCGGAGAACATATACACAGCGGTTCCAACACCGCAGGCCGCATAATTACTCAAAAAGGAAGGAACTTCTGTTTCCCATTTTCCCATCTATATCTTCTATCCTGGCAGGAATACATTGCTGCCGTGCCTATTCAAATCTTCTCACGTTTGGATCCACCCAAATCCGTCAGGTCACCATGAGACGCCCGTCTGGAGGAATTGGTTCCGGATCTGCCAGTGAGCTGACTTGAAGATCCACTGCAGAAACTCCGAGTAGTCGATCGTCTTATCATGACTGATATCCTCAGTCCAGCAAAAACAATGAGTGGATCAGTGGATCACTGCTGATGAAGATGTGGACCTGAAAAAAACCGATGAGTTGCGTTAATTTGGGGGTTTGTCCGATGTGCTTCCGGCCTTCGATTTGGCACCGATGTGCTTCTTGACGACCAGTGGCTGAAAGCGGCTCCCGAAGTGGGACCCGGGAACCCGCAGGTGGCTATGAGCAGTTTTTCCTTTAAGCAGTAGCCGTCGCCTAAGCAAATAATTGGGGCAGATCATCTCAAGCTGATAGAAAAAGGATGAGAAGGAATCAAAGCGATGTGTCCTCGGATTTCGTGACGGTAGGCTCCGTCCCGTAGATCTCCCGCCCCGTCGGTCCGCGGACCGGGTGACTCGTTTTACGGCCACCGAAGAATGTCAAAGCACATCATTATTGGAGAATCACCTACCACACAAATAAGCTTCGATATGTCGATATGCTTCCATATATCATATCTACCCTTCTGTTCATGGATTGAGTATGATTCAGTAATGAATTGTGCTCACGTGAGAACAATTCATTATATACTCAATCCAGATATGGATATATCGTAGGTCAAGCAATGGTCTCGAGAAGGCCTATTGTCCGCTTTGCTGTTTGCAATCAAAAAGCTCGTTTCTAAACACCACCCCTCTGCAATCATGACAAAACAATTCTATCATTCCTGTGCTTTCTTGGTGTGCTCTGCCAGGTCTCAGCTGAAGCGAACATGGATTTCAGCTCCTTCTCGCCGATCTGAAGGCCCAGATCAGTGAAGACCGACAGCAGCTCATCTTTATCGATCACCCCATCGCCTGGCACCCGCGAAACAGTGGACCGTGCTTTCCTGGGCAGGCAACATGCGCTACGTGTTGTGCTTTTGTGGGTGTCTCTTTGAAAGGAGGGAAACACATTGACCATCTCTTGTCTCAATGTGATTTTAGAGTGGATAACAGAAATGCCTAAAGGTAGCTTATATGCTTATTAGTATGATTATCCAAACACTGGATTACCACCTGAAATGATGTACAGTATAGGTTTGCGCCATCTGCTCTAGAGCTACTCCACCTAAGCAGCATTCCAAACTAGATCAAACTAGCGAACTCATTATGATGGCTGTCGACCAGGAAATCGCTCAAGGAACCAGTGAACCAAGGCCCACATGGGCCTGGGGAACCCTTTTGGTGGAATTGGAATCTCTATGCTTGCCTTGAACCTGCATAACACTGAAGGTAATGGTTCTGAAACAATTGATGTTCTACATGGCCCTGCTTTGAGGGACCAGAGTGAATGCATTAGGCCGCAAAGCTGCTTGCTGTGCTCCCTTATTTGGAGTCGTCACTCATCATTTCATCAATATACAAATTGTATAGAACACACACCAACCCAACGATTAACTTATTATGCTATTCTTGTAATTCCCCACTTTGACTTGAAATGACAGACTCTTTTGACACTGCCAGACTAAACAAAACACACCGTGACCCAGAAACTCCCCCAAGTTCCAAAATTCAACCCTGGTCTATCAACGCAAACACACAACACTGAAGAACAAACCTGCTACAAAACGAATCCGTTTGAGGCACCTCAAAACAAAAACAAACCCATCTCAAAATGCACTTGAGCTGTGCTGGAAACCTTGATAGATTCCTATGTCGTAAGAGGGTGCTTACGCAACACATAGGTTTTTCTTACGCGCTCCACAGGTTTTCTTACGCGGCATGTGCGGGGAAGTGGGTGCTTACGCCACCCTTACGCAGCCAGACTTCGCAGACTTTTTGCGAATCTGCTGGGAACATGCTTACGCAACGTGCTTTGTACAATGATAGGGCTTCAAGAGTTACTACTTGCAGAAGCATGCGATCCTTCCCGCAGTGGCACGGGCTCAAGCAAGCGCGTTTTCACCAAGGCCGCGCAAAACCGCATGGCGCAGCGACATCACACAACAGTGCACCACCAAGCCTCATGGACACCGCCAAGAGTCCAAGAGTGTTTGTTTTCGGGCCAGTGTTGGCAAAAGGCTTTGAACCATGTGGGCTACTACTCACTGACGCGCATGAGACTTACGCGCTGCCTACGCGGAGCTTACGCGCGCCTTACGCGGAACGTGCCGTGACTCTCCTCGATCTTTGTGAGGTTCCTGTTTCTAGTAAACACAGCAGACCTCCTCAACAAAATCTGTTCTCACATCAAATGCAAACCAGCAGGTACAAAAAAGCTTACGCGGCACAAAAAGCTTACGCAACCTTGCGCAGTGCAGTGCTTTCCTTACGCCCCGAGCTCTTATGACAAGACCCTTGCTCATTACAAGCAAGTGGGTTTATGGCATGGCTCACTTATCTATATGACAACTTGAGTTCATAGCCGTTCTCTTATCCATCCATCAACGGCCACTGAATATTTCAGTCCAAGGCGCCGTTCTGATCCCATTGCAGAAACGCTGCCATGACATCAGCATGTTCCACTTCCCCTTCGGCCACCGCTAGGAAATCCGCCTGGGAGTGTCCGGGTGATTCCTGGGGAGTTGCAAGCCAGTGTTGACTGGTTTCTGGCGGACCTGTTTCAAAATCAGGATGAGGAGTCGGCAGTAGCTTGTGCCAAATTGATAGTTGAATAGTATCAGATCTATTTGGACAATGGCTATTATAATCAATATATACACTTGACTGATCTTGACTGGGTGTCGGTGCTTTCAGCACTACCAGAACAACAGGGCGGCCCGTTGCAGTTTGATGATTGTCCGTCTCTCAGGCTAAACATGTAATGTAACATATCATAGATGTCGAACACCAAGCAAAGGGCTGGCACCTTGTCATACCAGGGTTGTTAGAGTAGATCTAAAGTGCCGTAGACCATCAAACCTCAATTTTTCACATGAACCAACATTGCATTCCCCAGTTCAATGTCCACAGTGCATGTCTCAAATGTCCCACTGTATGACCGGCACTGGTCTCGGCCTTCGCCTCCTCGACGGCTTCTTCATCTTGGAGAGCGATGGAGTCCATCAGAACGCGGCGCGGAGTGTGAGAACGCTCGTCTTTCGGTACACATGTATAAGCATAGTTCATGTAGAGCAGTAGGGCACTGTCCATCAAAAGAGCAGTGCTCTTGTTGCTCTGATCATATATGCAGTATCCTTGTATCACTCGGTGGTTGTCACCAAGTCAGTAATTAAGAGATACGCACCTCAACTGAGGATTAAACAAAAACAGGTGATCAAAAAACACGAGATAATAATTGGAGCTAGCTTATAGACTCTCTCAGACAACAAGGAACTTCTCTGCCCAGTTTGTCTGCTTTCAATGCGTCTTTGTATGGGACTCCCAATGGCTCCGTGGTCCGAGCCATTTGCTCTGGATTCCGATGTTCCGAGTGTCCTGTCGTGTTCATGTGGTCTTGAAGCTCGGCGATCGAATCTCCTTCCACGCAAACACACGCAGTCATGGCACCGGTCACGCGGTCACTCCTCAAAGGAGGCGCACCAAACATTGGTGCCCAAACAACGAAAGCAGTGTTCCGATCAGAAAGCTCGCTGTGAGCTCCTATGTGCCACTTGCCAAGTTCTTGAAGAAGCAACCTGATATAATATAGTTCATTCATGTCCATCCTTCATGCAAACAAACCTGACTATGCAAGCTAGGATAAGCAAGTACTTACACCGAGTAAAGGTGTCGTGATTCACCCCTCATATCTTGCAATTTTGTTTGCTGAACGTTGCAAGCAGGTGCAGTTCTCCGTGCTGCAATCGTCTCCGCTGCAGGCATCTCCCCAAAGTGCCTCCTGCTCCAGGCGTCGCGTCTGCTAAGGATCTCACAAAAAGCCTGGACGCACTCACACATTGAGGCATGCAGTGACGAGCGCCTAGAAGGAAATAGTTCATTTTGTCTAAGCAACCTCAGCATCCTTCCTTGACATGCATCCAATTCATCAGCAAAACAAAGACCAAAAGGCACCTCGGCACAAGGGGCCTTCGAGACGCAGCAGGATAGCCTGTTGGAAAGGCAGCCAGTGGAACTAGATGCTCCGTGCAAACGAGGCACTCAGTATCAACCAGGTCAAAACGAGGCACTCAGGGCATTCCCAGAAGTGGCGATATCTTATCGAAAAGGGGATTACATTGCGAGTATTTCATGTGGGTTGATTCTTCAAATTCTTTGTCGCTTGAAAGAAACTCCACGGCCAACCCACAACAACTGCAAAGACCAAGTTTGGATCAGCCGGATGCAGTCCTCTACATCATCAATGTCTACAGTGGTTTCGGAGTAGATGCTCAAATTGCACAAACCCCTTCAGTAATTTTAGATTTTAGATGGGGCTCGATATAAATCACCTTTTGCGGATTGTGCCAACCACTCGGAAGCCACTGTAAATGTCTCATGTTTGACTCCGCCTCGGGTGACATCGCAAAAGGCCCACCTGACGGCAGTATTTCGACGAAGTCATCGAAGTCATCGACGAACGAACGGTCATAAAACAACTTTGGCTGGCCACTTCTTTTAAGTTGGTCAGTCAGTAGCTGGGACTTCAGTGGGTGCTGCTGAGGCTGTCCTTCTCCATTTTGCTTCCCAACATTTCCCAACTCATGCGTAGCACCACAGCAATCTAGCTCCCCACGATTGGCAACATTCCATAGGATGCGCATGAGCATTTTCTAGAACACGCAGCACAAGTATTCTATAACTCGTTCAAATGAAAAGGCATACGGACTGAAGACCAAATAAAAAGGTCAAATTGAAAAACTAGGTCATCTGCCCACTGCAGCCCTTAACAACAAGCTGGACTACAGGCGTGGCGAACCATTCTGTGAGCTCAAAGTGGATTGATGGGTAGGAATGCAGTCATCACGGGTCCCGGCATGTAAACTCTCCGATGTTGTGCAGCTCGCTCACACGACTTTTCCGTGGACAGTATACAGAACCACACTTCACAAAATGGCACAACGTTTATGGTCTACACATCTTGCTCTAAGGACTGCGACAAATCAGCTCTGAGCATATTCTCCGCCACTTGGTTTGCACATTGCTGAATGGTCTGCTTGCACAGAACCTCAGGCTTGGGAACACTACAAAATTGAAACTAACTACATCCCAAGAAACATCCAACAAATAACATCAAGCCAAAAACACATGGCAATTTAAAAGATATGTTACTAACTTGATTCCAGGCTACGGCAATCTGTCTCACACTTGCAACTTCCACTCTGCAGGGGAGGAATATTAAACGAAACTTCATGCAAGTCGCAAGAGACAGCACAGCAGGCGTATGTGTGGTTGTCCTACAGCCATTATCTGATGATACGCTGATTTCGCAATCCATCGAATGCCACTTCCCGTCTGCGTAAGTCTCAAGTATTATCAAGCGCGGAATGGCTCGACTTTCCTCCCACGTGAGAACAATTTCTCCAATGCATACTTCCCGGCCCATGAGGACATCCAGCACATCCAGCTGTCTGACAGCTGACCAGGTAGGACACCAAAGCCCAGTGTCGCCTCTTGCCAACGCTGCCAATTGACTATTTTCCCTAGGACTTGTGGGATCATCAGTCGCGCAGGTTATCTCATGAATGGTTTCGACTGTCAAGTTGTGCTTGGGCACAAGACCAGCTCGTTTGGCGACTTGAAGCTGCTCAGGTTTGTTGCCCAACAAGAAATACTCCATGATTTCATCGCTCTTTTCACGACTCAAAAATGCTCTAGCCTTATGAAAGAAGAACTCTTTGTTCATTGCCCCGAAGCGAATGTCCTTCGACATTGCGCTCAGAATCGCTTCTTGCTGCGCAAGCTCATGAGCGCCTAAGCCACTGCTATCATCCTCAGACTTGCTACGCTTCACTGTCTCGCCGGTGGCATCGGCAAACGGCCCAAGTATCTCTGCATCGCGCACAGCTTTCCGGGACCATTCCACCAAGCGTTCCCACAGTCGGTCTTCATTCGCTTCGAACTCATCGAGTTTGATTAATTGAGCGACAATGTCGCCGTGCATGTGAATAAATGCCGGCAACTCCAGAATCCTTGTGCTGTCAAGCAAGATCCTGCTCCAATACTTGCGTAGTACTTCTGGCTCCAAGCTGTAGGACAATTTCTTGGCAGCAGTCATTGCCTGCAGAATTAGAGCACCATCTTGTAAAGTATCTAAGTAGTGGGGCTTCCAGTTGAGGAATGAGGTACAACTTGGCAGCTTTGAGAGTGTGCAGCGCACTCTCAGGCGTTAGCTTGGGCTCCAAATGGCAGGCCGCCCGCATCATGACCTTGAAGGCTTCGAGTGTGGTGTCCAAAGCAATCTCTCGTGTGTGCGCTTCTTGAAAGTCCCCGTACCTCATAAATGACAGGCAAAAGAAGCAAGAAAGAGTGCCTGGCTGTAGTGTATTTCCAGCCCCCTATCATCATAGTAACAACAACCAAAAGCCACAATATATCACAATATTATTATGTATATATATAATTATAACATGTGATATTGCAAAAATATCAAAATATTGTAAGATCCTAAGACTTAGGACCAAACATCCCAAAACCATGTTTCCATGAGGCCGGACCACAATGCCTTGCGGAGCGGCAGCGACAGATTGGCCAGCAGCGGCCGGAGAAAGGGTACCCGGTACCCGATGACCCTCCCGCAGCACTGCGACCGCGTCGCAAAACTCATTGTCTGAGAGCAAACTCTCAGCCCAGATGTCTTGAGCTTCTTTCAACGTGTCCATGGGATGGGAGGAGGTGTGTAGCAAAGAGGTAAAACTGTAGCAAGAAGGCTCAAAGGTGGGTGTGTGTGCGCGCGCATGTGTGTGTGTCACCCCCTGTACCAAAGGGTTCCATACCACTGTCTTTCACTGCAACCACTTAACGAGGCAGGGGGGCCAGGCCTGTCACATCCAACCTGGCCCAACGAAGCTGAGATGTGACAGGGGAAGCACCAAAGGACGCTTTGGTGTGTACCTGCCACAACTTTTGCACAAGCTGTCCAATCTCCTTTTTTGTTTCCATGGTGGTTCATGATACTTCCCACAAACCTTCCCACTTTCTCACGCAGCTGAATTGTACAGAGGCTCGCCACCGCACACCTGTCGAAACTTTGTTCAACAATACGGTTTTTGCGGACTCATGCACCTTTCCGTTCCCTCACCTTCCTTCCCAACGTGGGAACTGAGTGTAACTGAATACCAATGTCAGAGTGTGTTTGTGTGTGTATGCTGTACATCTACATACTGTTTGCACCATCAAGCTGCAAACACAGTGACAACTATATAGGACTTTCAATGCTGGATTTGGCATACATGATTACGCCTGAGTCATTTCTGCAAACTGCGGCAATGAATTCAACCAAGCATGCATGCGTTTAGAACAATGAACATGACATCCTGTCAACAAATCGCAAAGGCTATTATTTGCTAACGATTAAATGCTAAGGAATTTATATGGCCTTGCTATGGATATCAACTATTCAACTGTGCGGAGTCAGCAGTCTTTCTATAGGTCTTTTCTAGGATGGCCCGATTCATCCCAACTCCATGCAACTAATGCTCTACAGTAGCTCTCGCCTGAGCTGGTGCTGCAAAGCACACAAGGAACCTGTCGAACGTGGAAAAACATTACGTCTCCGGCTGTGGAGGTTCTTGTTTGCGCTCACCTGACTCCTCAAACACATTTGGATCATGTTCCGCCACTTGCCGGACAAAGCTACCTTGATCATCCCTCAAGACTCAAAACGCGACATTCTACACAAACAAACTGGGCTTTCCAGCCTTTCAACCACAGAACTGGATCCCATGTTCAACAATCACAAGTGAAGCATTCAAGGGAGACTCTGCGATCAAGAAATTACCCTGACAAGGGATGTTGGGGCTGGCAAGGTTAACCGGAAGGCAGTAGGATGGAACACCCCGTTGGAACGATCTTTGGATATAGCAAGGGGTTGGGGAACTCCCTATAGCCCGAACCGCTCCCTGTTTAGTGCGAAATATATGGCTGGATATATTGTTGCTCCCCGAGCCGTCTCTCTCTCTCTCTCTCCTGAGCAGCAGCTACTATATATATATATATTATACATAACAAATATGTATATTTATACAGTTTATAATAGTATATGTTAACCCTCTACAGGATTCCCTGCCTGGAACATCCAACAGCCTCAACAAATCTGTGAACACCAATTGGCTGTATCCCAGCTGTGAGCTCGAGCATGCTGCCTCGCCACCAACGACTCGTGGCGCTGCGCATGGCTTGGGCAGGCTGGTGGGATCAAGGCTTTTTGCAAGGTATGCTTGTCAAAGAATGCATCTCATGCGCAAGGTAGTCTTCTTTCATCTCCTATCTTCATTCTGACTGGCAAAAGCCCCTTGTGGTTGTGTAGTGGGAGTCTAGTCACTCTAGTCTTACAGCTCCTTCATTGCCACCGAAGGGAAGCTATCTCGACGTGTGTTCTCTGCTCGGGGTTTGTGTGACAAAGTGCTGATGATGTATTCTCCGCAGTTTTCAGGATGAGAAGAAAGAACCACATGGCCTCTGGTGCTTTGCTGAGCGTATGAAACAAATGCTTTGTGTTGAAGCGGCTGCGAAAGAAGGACCTTCCAAATGCATTGAGGCGACAGTGCCCCGAATTGCCTCGTGAATGACTGTAGACTGTGGATGCAAACTTTCAGGTCCCCCTTTTCAATGATTGAGATTCACACCTATTCCATCGTCATGGAAGTCTGGCATCTCAAAGTAACACACAATATCAGCGGATTGGTGAAGCTGCTCAAAAAAAAGGGCGGGCATGTCTGGCTCAGGGATCTCCAATAGACCAATGGTGTGCATCCACAACTTGTAGATTGAAACCTTGAAACTACAGTCCCTGGAATGATCATGGAAGTGGAAAACAACCTGTTTGATCCTGTTTGGTATGACCGGAAAACTGTCATCCGAACTCGGAGCCATGCCATCCACATAAGCATGATGGACTCCGTTCGGAGTGTATATCGATCTATTAGACTACTTCCATCTATGAGACTTTGACCGCCAACCCAGTGGATCACTTGACTTGTCGTTTCAGAAACTTGCGGCAGGTCATCTCCGAGGCATGACAGTCAATCTGTTACAGTACATACATGCCCCTATGGGATTGTCCCCCCAAGACCTTGGGGCTGCTACTCCCTAAAGCACTCGCATAGTTGGGAGGTGGTTGAATCACGACGAACCACCGTCTGAAAATCTCTCAATCATCTTGGTCTTCACATGTCTCTTCAAGAAACCATCTTGCCCCCAAAAAAACCTGCTGAGGCAAACACACCACCAACCCCATTGGACGAGGGCGGTGTACGCCAACGCCACCACCACAACGACCGCCAGCAGCGGGTGGGAATCACCTCTTCTCGCCAAGCCTGAGCCTCCCGCTTCTTGGCGCGGCCTGCGGTGGGAGGGATGGTTGGACCTTCTTCGTCCAGTAGTGCCAAAATGGATGGTTTCTTTCAATATCCTTACTTAATGATTTAGAAGCCATGACCATGCTGTAGGAACCAACTCGTCCCGCAAGTACTGCCTCCCTTTTCTCAAGACGGTGAAGCACCACGGATCGAGAGGAGGTCAGAAACATCTAAGGGACTAAGGGCCTAGATAGCTGTGGATGCACATATTAAATTGATGTACCACAGCCATGCTGGAAAGTGCATGGGCCCCGGTCCGCCCGGTCGCCTGTGCCTTTTGCACGCACTTCAAAAACCAGCAACAACCAAAAACGGGAGCAACAGCAAGGCCAAAAGAAAAGAGTAACAGTCAGGGCTTGGTTCCCGCGTCTTTCAAATCCAGCAAGTCTCTGCCTGCCTTTTTGAGTTTCTTTCCGCTGAACATTTCAGCGTCTTCAACTATGCGCCAAGACTGCCTACAAGCTATGAACCTATTCATTTGTTCATCTTCATTCTTTTTTGTCAAGCTGTTGGACAGCATGGCTTCGCTGTTCACCCATCTTATTTCCAGATTGGTTTCATTCTGGCAGTTTTTTCAACGCAACAAGCTCGATGTCGATTTTCTTCGATTGTCCAGTCGGAGAGATGTAAGGTCGTTGGAGCTTGTCATACACACTGCGACTGTCAGTGATCAAAGTTCCGGGGGTTTTCGCAGCAAGACGGTCCGGATTTCGGGGTTCGGGGACCTCTCCACAAATTTCTCCCCATTGATACCGGATCAACCAAAGAGCGTCTTCCGCATCCATAGCAGCATGCGCTTCACTAGCGCCAGGTGCTCTGCAAACCCTGTCAATCTTCGAGGAATTCCAAAACATGGGGGAAATTTTCTCCAGGGTACCTTTACTCAAATTCCGGTGAGCCGCTCCTATGAAGATCCCTTTGGTAGAGTGTCCAGAAGGTCTGTTCTGGTTGGAGGCGTCCGACCAGGCATACATACCTATCTCATTCAAAGGAATGGGGAAAATCCTCATGGGTTCCTTAGAAGCGTCTTTCATCTTGTGCAACAAAGTGTTCGTTTCCAAAATGGTCTCAACCGTGGCTTGAGGAACTTGGCTCAAAAGGAGGGAAACATAGGCCGCATACCTAAACCCAACTTGACTGCAATGCCAAGACATGGCTCCAAGCACTCCCCTCATAGCACTCTTTTCTTTTTCAGTGGCTGGTTCCTTTCGTTGTTTCCTACGTTCACTGTTGAGGGGAACCGGAAGGGAATGACTCATGTATCTTTCCTGGTTGAGAGTGTACCCTCCATCAGGTTGTCTACTGATTTGAACGCCGCACTGGGTGAATTTGTCTTCTTCGAACTCCCCCCACCTAAACGCATCTTGGATGCTCTTTTTTGCTCTCTGCCAGTATTCGTCTTGGGGGTTTCCAATGAAGACAAAGTCATCCACGTGGCCGGAAATGATGGAGCGGACTTCACCTTCTTGTTTGAGCACCCAGCAGCAAGGATCTGAGAAACACTGTCTGTATCCCAACTCGTGAAAGTGGGTCTTCACGGTCTCGTACCACTCATAGGGAGCCTGAACTAGGCCATAACATGATTTCCGGAGTCGAGTGATGGACTCTGGAGGGATGTTCATCTCTTTGCAAAGATCAGGGGTTGGGATGCAGTATAGTTCCTCTTCACAGATTCTACCCTGCAAAAACGCGGCCGCCACGTCGCCCTTCCAGCAATGCCATCCCCTGGAGGCAGCGTATTGTAGCATCAGTTGCCTAGTGTGTCTTGTAGTGGTAGGTGCGTAAGTGATACGATGCTCGTACTTGGGGTCTTGGTACCCCAGTACTACTAGTCTGGCTTTGGGTACAGTTTTCCCGTCCCCATCTACTTTCCAACTCAAGAGCCACCTCATGGACATCGCCTGAGTTTTGGGCGGTTGTAGGCGTGCTGGAAGTGCTTCAAGGGCTTCGGACGCCAGAAACTTTGAAATTTCTGTTTTCTTTGCTCCCTGGAATTTCACTTTGGTGTCCTCGTCCATGTGTCTTTCGAAGACTTCCACACTCTTTTTCTTGAGGGTGTTCACGATGTAGGCCTTCACATCTTTGGACATTTGCATCCATCCATGCCTGCTTTGAGGCAGTGGTATTTCCATCTCTACGTAGGCCTTTTCATCATTCCAAAAGGCTTGGTGTTCTTCTTCGACACCTTTGGCGTAGAGAAGTGGGTCTTCCTCTGGGTCTATGTCCATCGGTGTTGGTCTTGAAGGCAACGAGGGGTTTTGTTCTTGTACTTCTTCTTCTTCTCCTGGAAGCTCCACAGGTCTCTTTGTTCTGTGCCTCTTGGTGGGTGGTTCCCAAAATCTGGCTACCCTTTCTTTGTCCTCTTCCGAAGGCATGTCCTTGGCTTCCACGGTGATGTCGTCATATTCATTCTTTCCCAAGGGCGCGACAATCTCCGAGATCGTCCAAGGTAGCCGAAGGTCTTTGTCTAGTTCAGCCAAGATGGTTTCACGGTTGGACGCTTTGCGGAGTTGTTCCACTGAGGCCTTGAGCAGCCGGTTGTTGCGTACCAACCATACTACTGAGCTGGGTCGCACATTTCCATCTTCATCGAATCTTGTTTCCAGGGCCAATACACGAGCTGGTCCTGCGTATCCATGGAAATGCCCTGTTTGGTATCTTTGGCCAGCCTCTTTGCGGCCCAAGCGCCGCCAGTAGAAAACCAGTTCACCTGGAGTGTAGACCGGGATCGGTTTGGACTTGGAATTCATGGCTCGAGCAAGCCGCTCTTTGGCTTGCCACTTCAAGAACGTTTCTTCGGCTTGTAGTCGGAGGCCTTGATGTCTCTCGAGCTCACCGATTGGAGTCTCCATGATCTCCACTGGTAGGCCACGAACATCATCTCGAAAGAAGCGACCGTCAAGGTCGGGAGCCTGTCCTAGGGCATGTTGGTGGGGGGAAAAGCCCCTCACCATTTCCCTCCTGTTCCAGATGTTGAGAGCTTGGTGCGCCGCTTCATGGGTGGAGATGCTTGACGTCTCCTGTGCGAGGCGGGACAGAAGCTCTTTGAGCCATGCTATGCTTCGCTCCAGTGGTGAAAGGTGCCAGTGTGCGTCTCCGGGAATCGGGTCCAACATAACCTGGTTCTTGGAAAAATACGAGTCAATTTCACGGGAGCGCCAAGTCCCTTCGGCATCAAATCTGAGAAAATCAGGATGCCCAAAATATTGAAGCCAATGACTTTGGTAAAACTCAATGTATTGAGAGGACTTGACATTCGACGATTCCCCCTTTCCTAAAATCTTTCCCACCAAAAACCTACTCCCTTGATCCATGATCAAGCCAACCGTGATTCTTTCTTTCGAGATGGGGTGTCTCCACACGGCGCAGTCGGCAAGGGCAACAGTCCATCTTTTTGGGACCACTTCCAAAGTGGTCACTCTTCTAGGGGCAGGTCTTTTTCTCTCTTCACAGACCTCACACTTGAAATCCTTCGCCAAATCAATAACTTTTTGTCCCAATCCTTTCTGTTTGAGGGTGTGAACCAAACCTTCGACACTACCGTGACCGGTGGCACAATGAACCAGCTTAATCTTTCTCCTCCACTCTTTCTTCTCTTGGGGGTTCCACTCACCATCACCTTCTTGGGGGGGAAACATCCGGGTCCTCATCCAACATGTCTTCCTCTCCCCATTGCTCCCCCACGTTTCCTTCCCCGACGAACGCGCGTTCCGAAAGAATGCACGACGAACACAACTGAACCTGTCCTTTCCACCTAAAAAGCCTGCAGTTACAAGTCTCCTTTTTGTATTGTCCCATCTTCACTTCTTGGTGGTCCTTCGTTTGTTCGTTTTGCATGCACTTCCGAATGTGTTTGCTCGACGACTGTTTCATGTAGTGAATGATCCGTTTGGCCATGGTTTGCGTGTAAAAGGCTGATTTCCTAGTGAGCCTACCTTCACACTTCACATGATGACAACTGCATTCGGAACCTTCACATTTGATTTGGAGGTCCTTCGCAAAATCATGATCGGTCGTTTCCACTCTCCACTCTTTTCCCAACAGTCCCCCACTTTGTCGTCCGTCAGCCCAACCCTACATCCACTCACGATCGACGTTTCGGTCTGGAGGTTATTGCGGTATTGTTCTATGGGGTCCCATTTCCACGCCCGACACCTTCGACTCCATTCCCAATGAATTTCGCTGCCGATCGACCGACCGAAGTACGCGACGACGAGTCCTCCGATATGTTGTTTTCGGGCCTCGTGTTGTTTCCTCTGGAGGTCTTGTTGTTGGGCCTCAGTTCGTTGGTTGAAATTCTGGATAGGACTGAAGGGACCACATTCAGTAGAAATCCAAATGTTTTTGGGCCTCTTTTTCTTGACCAGTTCCAAGGTTTTCCTAAGTCCTTCAGGTGAGGTGAGATCGCAACCGTTGAAGAGTGATGCCCGTTCGGCTGTGAGTCCTTTTGCCAGTGCTTCATTGGTTAGTACGGAGTCGGGTGCACAAGCAACTTCCAAAAGAAACAATCGGCCTTGATCCAAAAGTTGATCCAGCCCGTGGAAAAACCCTTCTTCGAGAGTCCTCCCAAGCCTCAAAGCGGCTTCTGGCTGAAGTGTTTGAACTAAACAGGCCGGTTCTTCATAGATTTGGCTAGCCGAGCCACTTCTATCCTCTCTCACTGAGGCTCCCCGTGAGCTGAGACTTTCTCGAAGCTGGTGCTGGTCTTGCGAGTCTTGGAGGATGCTGAAGCTGCTTCCTCCTTGGCTTCTTTCAGCTCGGATTCCAAGGTGTGAATCTTGAGCATCATTTGGTTCATGGCGTCCTTGATTTCCGCGGCTTCGGACTGCGGCAGCTTGGCGGGTTCCTCCTTCTGATCGACCTGCATGGATGCATTCGCTTTGTTGCGACTTGGCATGGTCAGATGACGATTCTGACCTGGTGGCACTACCAAACCCGCCCATGCCAATGGAGCTTCCCCGGTGGCACCCGATTGCGGTGTCTGATATGCCATGGGAGCCCCGGATGACATGAAGGGAGTGTCGCCCGCAGGTTCCTCCACATTCTCCATCTTGTTCACCCAGCGAGCAAACTGGATCAGCTTCCAGTCGGGGCTCTCTGAGTGTTTCACCTCCCTGGTTGCCCACATGGCGTACTGATGGTCGGTGCTCATCACCTCCATGAAAGTCGCTCCCTGGTGTTTCCCGAAGCTGATCTTGGTGTCCCCATCGCAGTCGTCGATCACGGCCTGACGGAGTGCCAACTTCATTTCCCCCACCGTGGCCTTCTCCATGGAGGGTAGCTGGTAGGCCTTGATGAGCTCCTGGAGTTCGCTCTTGTTGGCTTTCTTGATCCGTGCCATTTGGTCTTGACCCGGTTCCTTCACTTGGAGTAGGCCTCGACGGATGCGAGACTCCCTCAACATGACCCGCAGTTCCGAGATGGAGAGGTCCTGGTGAGGAGGGGTCCCGGCTGCTGACATCTCCTTCCTGCATTCGGCTGCGCTGCATTGGTAGTGAGGCTTCATCTCGATGTCGGCCGCTGTTTGGATGTACTTCTTGGGCGCCATGGTGAGAAGTCACACGAGTTGGGTCACACGAGAGATCCGGTTCAACAGAAATGGCTGCGGGTTGAGCGAGGCTGGCGACGGCTTGTTCGACCGGGTCGTGAGAGTCCTGTTTTTGTTTGTTCTGCTTCACCTGTTCCAGTGGGTGTTGGCTCTCTCTTGAGCAGCGGCTCCATGCCGCGTGATAAAAAGGAAAATGCTCAGCAACGCTTGACAGAAATGACTGATCTACCGCACCATTCTCTACCTTTCCAACTTCTAACTGCTCTGAATTAGGAACGCAGAAACCTCCCCTGCCTGTTTTGAACTTTTCCTCACACTCAGGTACAGGCTTTCCCGAGCTGAGTTTGGTTTCCTATTCTTCGGTGGCGGCGGTTTGAGATCGCCGGAAAATCAAATCCTCTAAGCTACGTACAGGAAACCGGAGGCCTTTTCCCTCCTTCAAAAAGTCTCTCGTCAGAGGGAGCAGCTGATGTCCAGATGATGAACGTTCCAGTGAGACGAGCGATCGTGGTGCCACTGTGGTGAACACTGCCTTGTCGTTTCTGAAGTCAATGATGGCTCCCATCTTCCGTAGTGAGTCCACTGAAAGTAGGACTGGGGCTCGACCTTCTTCCAACACGTGTACCTGCAGTGACATTGATCTGTCTTCGCTGGGCAGCTGTACCTGGCAAGTCGACAGGCACTTGGACTTTTGTGAATTGCCGAACCCGAAGATGGGTCGGTCAGCTTCTGAAGTACGGATCTCCTTGACCCCATCCGTGCCATGAGCCTCTTGCATGTTTTGCATGTAACGTTCCATAGCGTAGAGAGATCCCATAGTTCGGGTGGCTCCACCGTCCAAGATGGCCTTGCCTTGGTCGACTGCGGCTTCAGTACTAATGTAGACTTTAGCCGCATGGAAGATTTCCCCTGGCTCAAGCTCTGAAGATCCTTCACCATAGGTCTCTTCGAGGAAGTAGTTGTCACCCTTCTCGGAGTCAATCTCATAGTTGTTGCCCTGTTCAAAGTCCGGGTCTTCCCCTTCCTGTGTCTCTTCGGTCGTGTGGAAGGTGTAGTGTACATGTTCCTCTTCATTGTCCTCGGTGTACTGGGCACTTTGTCGCTTCGGACACTCACTTTTCACATGCCCTCGTTCCCCGCATAGGAAGCATGGACCTTTTGTCGGTGGTGCGCCTCGGTTTTGGAAGCTCTTTCCTGCCCCGATGGGATAGGAGGTCTTGTAGAACTTCCGGGACATCTTGACTTCGTGCTGTCGGGCTCTGGCTTCACGGAGAGTCCTCTTTGCTCCTTGAAATTGAATCCATGCTTTTTGCTCTTCATTCTTGGCTTCTTGGTACCAGGCGATTTCGTGTTCCGCCCATCCTTCAAAGTAGGCTTCTTCTTCTTCCTGAGGTGATGGTTCATCCTCTTGTTGATCTTCATGAAATAGGGCGTGTTTGGCTTCTCCATCTCTCTTTTTGATGGCATCGTCTCCCCAATGAGCTCGAAGAGCATTTTCAACCCCTGCCAGAGTGAAGTTCCCTTTGATCTCCCCCTGGATGATGCTTTTCTCCAATCCATCTAACCCCGACTTCTCCAGTAGCATCCGACCAAGTACTGCATCTGGTAGGATGTCCACTGGTTCATCTTCGTCTTGTTCTTGTAGTCCCGAGGTTGTTCCCCAGTTGGAGTGCTGGTAGTTCTGCTGATACCACTGGTGTGACCACCAACCCCCTCCAGTGGACCAGCTCCAGTCTTGCCAACTGGACCAGGGTTCACTATTTCCCCATTGTTGATTGGTCACTTCATGCCCAGGGTGATCTCCTAGGCCCTCTTGTCCCCCTTGTATGCTGCCGGTGTCCGTGGCTTGTGAGGAGCTTGGCATTGCTGAAGGCCTCCACTTGGTGTCTTTCTTTTGTTCCTTCATCATTCGTGCCAAGGAGCGACACATCTTCTCGTACTCTTCTCGATGCCTCACGCAAAATGCGGTCATGCTTTCTCCTCGTTGTCGACGAAGGGTCTTGAAGTAGAGCCGGAGGAAGTTGCCCACCTCTGGTAGTGCTGGTTCGCCGATGGTCTCTTGGAGGTGTTTCAGCAATGTCTCAACCCCTGAGGCCTCACTAAGCCAGTGCGACTTTTTCCCCATGATGGCGGTCTTGGCAGCCCCGCTCAATTCTGCTGCTACTTTTGGTCCACAGGTGTAGCGAGACTCGATCTTGGTCGATGCGACATACAGTCTGGCTGCCTGCTTGAACTCTAACCAGGTTGAAGGATCCCCATTCCAACCTGGTACCCCATCTTTGGTCCTTGTCAAAGAAGACGACATAGTCGGTTCCTATAGTCTCGAGATTCTCGAGGATCACCTGCTCAAAGATCGTAGTCCGTGAAGGGCTCCGCTACCATGTAGGAACCAACTCGTCCCGCAAGTACAGCCTCCCTTTTCTCAAGACGGTGAAGCACCACGGATCGAGAGGAGGTCAGAAACATCTAAGGGACTAAGGGCCTAGATAGCTGTGGATGCACATATTAAATTGATGTACCACAGCCATGCTGGAAAGTGCACATGTGTACGTATATAATTGTGTAATCTTTTTTTCAGGGATCAACATATTATACTATTATATATATACCCTGAAGGCCAACATGGAACCTGAACATCACTTCTCAGAACCTGATTTACAATTCTGAACACATTAATTAGCTTGGGCGTGCCAAAGAGACCCAGGCTTCATAGGCTGACCTAAGAGGACCTCCCTGGCACTGCAAACAAACTCTTGATGCGTCCGG